TTGGCCAAATTTAGTCTCAGCACCGAATATGGATTGGGCAAATCGTTACACTCGTTGATGGATTGGGGCCCGTGAACCATGACTCAAGTAATTCTCGGCTCACTCTATTATCACCTCTTGCGAGAATTGCGGCCTCATCAAATTTGAATGTGTGGCCGGGTTTCGTCGAATGAACCGCAACTTGAGAACTGGCATCATTTTGCCGCGCTGCTGCCGCGTGTTTGGCAATTCGCGTCTTCAGAAGCCTACCTGTTTCTCTGACATAGTTGCTTTGTCCGCAACTGCACCAGAGGTCGAAATGTGCACTTGAAGGACATATCATGTCTGGTCGCCCTTCTCTAAGCGCGAAGCTACGAACGAAATATCTCGATTTCCGTTCAAATGACTTACGGTGAAAATAACTCGCAGGGTTATCTCAGGGCATCGAAAAAAAAACTCGGCTAAAGGTAGTTGGGTATGTTTCTCGTCGTCCGTAATATGCATAAAATGTTGCTTTTGAAAAAATAGGGAAGCTTTCAGCAAAATCACACTCGACGCATTTTGACGGGGGATGCATTTTGATTTTTCAATAGACAGTCTTTGCCGCTAAAAGAAATGGGAAGTATCGTAGTTATTTAGATCCACTTTCGAATTCCATAAATCCTGAAACAAAATTTCATACCTGAGCATGACTTTTTTTAAATTTAACCACCTGTGAGAATAAGTAGATGTGATTACTAGACCATGGATATTATTCGGCTAACGTTTCAAAATCTGCCTTAGATCCATCCTCAGAGACAGTAGTTGCAAACGGGTAATTTATACATACATAGGGAGTTGCAGTATTTATAGGTACAGCCATTATGATATTGCACACTTATAGCACACAGCCACACGTTCAAATTTGATGAGGCCGAAATTCTCGCGATAGGTGACAATCGTGTGGGTCGCAAGTTACTTGACGCGTGGTTCACAGGCCCCCAGTCTATAATCAAGTGCAACAACATGCCCAATATATATTTGATGCCTCAATTTGACCAAAGCAAGTAGCCACTTGGGGAACGCAAATGCCAAAGCATCGTCTAACGCCAGCATCTTTGGAACCAGTTGGCCCAGTAATCATCACGCCCAATGCTCCGACGCGTGTCAAAATTCAGCAGGTCACGGCCGCACGCCGGCCATCAAGCAATTAGCGCCCAAGGGGGCAATCATCCTCGATAGCGGAGTCATTAAGTGTCATAGGTGTACAGTCTCATAGTGACTGCATCCTATAAATTTCTGCATTCCCCTGTGCGTGAAGTACCCGTTACTGCTATTGTTTCTGAGAATGAATATGCGACGGATTTCAAAACGTCTGGTGAATAAAATTCTTTTCCCGGCGATCACATCTACTTCTTCTTAATGACCTCAAGGGACTCCCACGTTCGCTTGTAATAGTATCCGCCTATGAGTAAATAAAACATTGTTAGTATTATCGGATTTAAAGAATAACAGACTCACGGGCTTAACTGATCTCCGGCTCCCCAGTTTCGAGTTCCTTCTGCAGGTGTGCGCGGACCAGGCGAAGTAGACTCCACAGGTGAAAGACGCGAACGACCGGATAAACGACTAGTTTCGGTTTTAATCCTGGTGAGAAGGTTCAGGTTACGCGAACGCGGATCTGGAGTTGAAAGAATACGACGAGTCAACTTGTCAATCATCGTAGTATCGGCCGCATAGGGACAAGAGCCCACACGTGCAATGGCCAGATCATCCGTAAGCAGGTTACGAACTTTCGCAGGTTGGGGTACAGACGGTCGCGTGGATTTTGGCGCAGAATGGCGACCGCTGGCGATTTTTCGAGGGTACTGAGACCAGGTGGTCAGATGCATCCCTGGTAACGTTTGTGGCACTCGTGGAGACAACTGCTGGCCCCGAACAAGCAGATGAGGCCTACGACAGCAAATGCGATTGTGGTCAAAGTTGAACGTCAATTTAGTACTAAAATCATTAGTTCGGACCTATCCGTATATAAATTAAACAGATCCAGGCAATGTCTTGAGCATTCAAATGTACTTGATAAGGCACGACACTTGCAGACCAATATGAGCTAAGAAAGGGTGAATTGCTGGTCCACCTGCGAGGAGAGTAAACTGGATGTTTGAGATGTTGGCATAGGCCGCTGTTCCAAGTCCTTCAAGTTGAAATATATATAGTAGTCTTTCCATTTTTGAGGTTTACTCATTCTGTCTGGATTGCTAACACTAAGATGAACCCCTCAGGATGACTTTGAATAACTTCGCAGATAACGCATCAAAACGAATCGGTAAAATCGATATCGGTGGGAATTTCAGAAGGGTTCAAGTCTGGCGTCGAGCAATTAAATTCCTATACTCCCCAAAACGTTTGTAACTTCGAGTTTATTACTTTTTGCTTCATGAGGTGTATTATAAATAAGCTCTCATAGTTTCTCGATTTTTTCTCTCTTCTTCCACCCGAACGTTACTAGCAGAAATATTATTAAAGCACCTAGCAGAGTTAACTTCGTAGAATAAACAAAAAATTGAATACATTTTTTAGCAGCAAGCTTTGCGACGACAAGTAACGGTGCTAACGCACTATTGTCCTCATTTCGAATTATCCACGGCTACTTC